GGGGGCTGTAGAGCCACTGAAAAAAAGAATGTCAGAAAGGCAGTTATATTCTGCAATTCCACGGCTACCTTATTTTAGATAAACTGAATAATTAGACCGTAATTATATCTTTCCATATATTAAACACATTTTAAGCTTAAAATTGATACCTATTGTAATATGTAATCAGAATTACATTGCTTATTGAATGAAAGAAGGAGTAGGAAGGATTCGCTGATAACTTTTATTACAGAAATTATATATATTGTGACATGAGGCTTCATAGAATAAGGCAGCTAGAGAAACGGTCAGTGCTAGGCAACGTATGCAATCAACAATGGATGAGCTACTGGAAGTGGTGTTTTCTATGCGATCCGTGCCATGGAAGTAGAAGGGGTCATTTTTGTGAACACTGACAGAAGACAGATCCGTCTTTTCATCAGAGAGAGCGCCCCACAATAACAAGACCGTAACTGTCAAACAGTACTAAACATCTGGTCATGAGCCTCAGATTGGGCTCAACACCAAGACTGACTGAATGTCTCGCTGATGACTGTCAGTCGCAATGAGACTTTGACTTTGACTTTGTAACGACCCAAAATTTCCTTAGAATTTATGTCCGATAATCCTCTTGTCCTCTAAGGGCAATCATTTCGATAGAGTCATTCTAGAAACGGCCCAAGTCACATTAAAGCGATAGGCCTCCTGAGAGAAAGTCGGTTTGGTTTCCGTGCACTGCATAGCACGACAATTCAATGTATGAGAGTAATGGGCCACGTGACCTTGAATTTCAACAATAACGCGTCTACGACGGCGGTATTCTGGATACTGAAAAAGGCCTTTGATGAAATATGGCACCCTGGCTTCTCATGCAAATTATATAAAAATTAGAATTTTCGACGAATTTAATCAAGCTTATTAGTTCCTTTCTCTTTGAGCGGAAATTCACAATTTCTGTCGAAGGCGAAATATACACGCCTAGAGAAATACAAACTGTGGTGCCTGAAGGTTCCGTTCTGTCTCCAATGTTATTTCTGGGTATGTATTATTGATACCCCCAGACTCCAGGTGTTTGTCTGGCACTCTTTGCCGGTAACACTAGCATGCATGCCGCAGATCGCGAAGAGGTTTATGTTCTCAGAAAATTGCAGCGCGTTCTAAATTCAATTGAGACGTGGTGTGAGCGCTGGAACATTAAAATCAATGAAGATAAAACTCGCGCCGTCTGCTTTTCTCAGAAACTTCTACCGCCTGTGGTTCACCTCGCGTCGAACGGACGGAACGTCTCCTTCGAGAGCGCAGTCTTTCTCGGGTCCGAGTCCCTTGGGACTCGCGACCATATTTTACTGTCTCAGATTTGAGACTTCCCTTTTCTTCGCCTCCTACGACTCGCAGGGTCACGGTGGAGGTATTCGAACCCGCCTCCACACGGGGTTTGCCTTCTCGGTTATTCCGGAACCTTTTATAATTCTTCGGTACGGACCCCACAGAAAACACATGTCACGTGTCATACTGCGAGTTCATTGGTCCGTTACCAGCGCTGAGAGTGACGCGAGCTGCATTGAAAATACAGCCTCATTTATTGTTGCGTGTTGAGTCGTGTTTATTGAGCTGTTGCTTGGGAAAGCGTTGATAAAATCTGTTACAGTAATAATAACAATAATAATAATAATTCAATTTTTATTTATGTACTTGTAAATGTAACAGCCCAAAAGCCAATTACAAAGTCAGCACGACTAAAGAAAACAAATAAAACGCATACAATCAAAACACAGAAACATAAGAATCTATATAATTCAATTCAATTCAATTCAATTCAATTCGTGTTTATTTATGTGCCAACTTAACAGCACAGTGGCCAATTACAAAGTTAGCACTAGTACATTAGTAACAATTCCAAGAAAGAAAACAAAAATACAATAATTTAGCCTTAACAGGNATAATAATAATAATAATAATACTTTCATTAAAATGTTTATTGAAGTCGGCATCGCTGTGTGGCTAGTGCGGCACTGAGCTCCACGCCAAACTCCTCTATTACAGCTTTTGCTCCTTCGTGCGCCTGCTTCGTTTTTATATCGCCAGAGAGCGAACGTGCAGAGGAACGAAGCAAGAAACAGAGAGGGCAAAACAGAAGCCTTTATTTTACCAAGAGATTTTGTTGTCGTGCCTTGACACGTGATACCACGTCATCTTGGCTTTTGTTCGAACAGATGCGTTTCTGAAGCTCGTGTGAAAAATTAATGGGCCACAGAAGCAGAGTTTCTCCAAGGAAACCCGGACAACGACATGAGTGTGAAAATGAAGTTTGTGTATCCAGTTTAATACGTAAGAAGCTAACTAAATAGATTTCAGTGGAAACGGGTATAATGAAAGTTTGAAATTAAAGCAGAGGAAAAATGACTTGTTTTTAGAATTGTTTATGTATAGTTAAAAACCATTTTGCAAAAATGTTTTAACTAGTGGAAGATAAAACCGAATTCTGAAAGAGCCGAGCTCATGCTAGGAATTATATTTTTGTATTTAGGATACATTGCAATATATCTGAATGGCATCCATGCTGCATTGGATGATGTACGTAAATAAAGGTGGGCCGCGGCATAGCTTTAGCGGTTAGTCGCTGGCTTTCCACCGCGGCGGGCCGAGTTTGATCCCGGGTCTGGTGAAGTGGGATTTGTGGTGTACAAAGTGGCGCTGGGGCGCATTCTCTCCAAGTATTTCTGTTTCCCCTGCCAATCTCCTTTTTTACAAATTCTCCATCATCATAATCACCCGGGACAGGCTACAATAGGCCAATCAGTGACCGACGTGCCGAGTGGACCCAGATGGACTCCACCCCCCACTAAGCGAATTAAAAAAAAAAGAATATAAAGAATATGTTTAAGCATCACTCAATAAAGACATATGAATGAGTAGATTTGTAATCAACCATTTTTAATGTGGGCATTAAATGTACTATGTATCGTAATTATTATGGCCGGTTACGGTAGTCGAGCGGTCTAAGGCATGTACTGTCTTCGCTCGCTTGGAAACCGGGATCATGGGTTCGAATCCCACTCAGGGCATGGCTGTTTAGTTTATGTGTGCGCGTTTTTCTGTGTCTGTGTACAGGTAGAGACCTTGCGACGAGCTGATCACCCGCCCAAGGAGTCCTACCGGATGTGTAAGATCTAGTAAACCGAAGTGAACGGAGAAGTTCATGGAGGTAGGCCTAGGCCCACTCGGGCTGTAGTGCCAAGGAAAAAAAATGTAATTATGATGACAATCCCTCTGCCCCAAGAAAAGAACCCCAATATACATACGGAGGACATATATATCTCTTAAATATAACGAGAAAAGAATTACAATAGTTCACTTGCTATTCTGCCATTATCCCAGCCTGTATACCGGCTGAAATGTAACTAGCTGGAAGGATACAGATTGTGGAGGAAGCAGCCATGACTCGTGCCTGGAGAAAGCGTTTCACATCTCAACCACTGCTCTTCCAACTGAGGATGTAGTCTCTTGGAATCGAACCCAAATCGGAAACGCTGCCGCTGACTTATCTGCTCGATTGAGAAGGGTTTATGTCTGTGATCTAACAGTAGTACTTGGAACTGATCGTGTCAAGATGAAGATGACCTTGGCCCTTGGAAGGCCAGGCTGCTTCTAAGCTCTTGAAATGCAGTTTCACAGATTAAGCACTCGAATGCATACAAAAGTTTAGAAAATTGCCATATTCAGGGCCGAACTTCATACATTGGCACCAGATAGATGCAGCATTTCCCTCCGTATCACTAATAGCTATCTACGAAATTGCATTATGCCACAACCCAGGAGACTACATTCTGAACATTCGCCGAGTGAAGACAACAGGACCTATAAACTGAGTAGTACTAAGAAGTCGACCAGGCATTTACACTGGGTTTCTCCTACATCTCGAAGCATGGAGATAGGCTGCATCTAATATCTTTGCTTTGTGCTCTCACCATATGTAGGGCTCTTACAATAATATGGTCTCTTTTCCAAGGAATTTGATTCTAGGTCTAAGGATTCATATTTTCTGGAATAGTTCGCAATCCATATAGGCCAGTAACTGTTATGCTCGGTGGCTTTCTGCTTCACAGGTTATACAGCAAAAATGTATGAATAGTGTATTGTGGTAGGAAGTCCCCATAAAACGATGAGAAATTCAGTACTCCTCACAGGTATCACGAGGCATTCAACAAGCTTCAAGACAATTTAAACACTAATAGTTCTGCCCGGACACGAATCCTAACACCATTCCAAATTGGATGAACCTCTATTGGCGTAATGAGATTTCTTTAGTTCAGTTGCCACAGTAAGAAAGTTCTCTCTGTTACATAAGTAGCCCAGACATACCAAACTGGCGTGAGCACGAGAATAAGAATGTTTACTTGCAGATTGTAGAAGCTCGCAGTGACAACAGATGCTTCTTTTGTTTTGTAACCTGTACATACTTCGAAAACATTAAACAAGATAGAGTTTGGGCAAGACAGAGTGATGAAGCTTACAGTCCTGTTGTACAGACATTCTTTTCTACAAATATATTATTGTTAATGTTATCATGTTATAGAGAATTTAATGCAATCTTATAACCCATCAGTTATGTGTAATGTATTTTATGGGTTGATATGTAGATGTTTCGACTTTCCATTCCTGCATCAGATTTTTAACATTTATTACTACACTACTATTAATATCATTATTATCATTATTCCATCAGCTTATTATAACTTATTTACATTAGTACAGAGCTGGGTAAATCAATTGTTCAAATATAATTTCATTACTTGAATTCAGTTACAGTATTTACCTACAAACAATATTCGATATATATATATACGAGTATATATATACATAATGTATTGGTATTTCGTATGACGCCATTCATACCAAATTTAATCATTATCATTATACATTCGACATATTATTTCTTCTAAAACTGTTTTTCGCGAATTCTTATATTATTTCCGTTGATGTTCGAAACGCTTTTTGACCCTGTGCTTCCTTTCCTACAGATTGGTACGCGGCTAGTCATCACGGCCCAAGAAAACCGTCGCTGCGAGCCACGGTTTCTCCACCTGGGCTCATTTTCTCACGATGGACTCGGAGGAAGAGGACCCGGCAGACTGCTGACAAGGAAGAGTCACTTCCCTGAGTCCAGGGCATGGACGCGATGGGCTGCTGGCCGTCGAGTCTGTCGAGTCGAAACCACCAACAAAAAGGAATCAAACCATGGCGTTGGAAGTTGCCAGTCGTTAATCCAGCCCTACCTTTATCTTTGGCATCGCCGCTGACAGTGCTTATCCTGACACTCTGCTGTCTTATAAGTGGACTTCTCGCTGATGATCCGTGCTCTGGACTCTGTGACTGTAAATGGAAGAGTGGGAAGGAAACTGCAACTTGTGTCAACGCAAGATTGACAGAGATCCCGAAGGGGTTAGATGCCGGGACACAGGTATTGAATCTGACAGGAATCAAATTAGGAAATCTCGGGAGAGACGCCTTTATTGAAGCAAAGTTATTAAATCTTCAAAAAGTTCATTTATCGAGATGTCGTATCAAAAATCTTGACCGTTATGCTTTTCGGAAACTAATTAATTTGGTTGAACTGGATCTGAGCTACAATTCGCTTTCTGCGGTTCCATCTCATGTCTTTGACTCGATTCCAGAGTTGAGGGAGTTGAAACTTAGTGGAAACCCAATACAGAGGATCCTTAACGACGCATTCATACGTGTCCCAACGTTGGTACGCCTGGAACTGTCGGAGTGTCTCCTGGGAACAGTGGAAGTTCGAGCTTTTTCGGGATTAGAGAATACTTTAGAATGGCTGAAACTTGATAAAAATAAACTTGTGAACGTGAAGTCTTCTACATTCACTGCCATGCAAAATTTGCACGGTCTAGAACTCTCCGAAAATCCGTGGAATTGCACATGCGAACTTCGTCCATTACGAGAGTGGATGTTCAGGCAGAACATACCGTACGATGTGCCTCCAGCGTGTACTCATCCTTTAAGGCTCAAAGGAAAGCCTTGGGACAGGTTAGATCTCGATGAATTTGCGTGTGTTCCCAAAATAACAGCTCCCGAGGCATTGACGACAGGAGTAGAAGGCCGAAATGTCACAATGTCTTGCAACATTGGCGGCATCCCAGAACCCCATGTGAAGTGGTTTTGGAGGAATAGAGTAATTGCCAATCTCTCCGGAGTTCCATATAGTAACGGTAGGAAAATTTATATGGTTCATGTTCATGACTACACTAGTAACCTGACTATTTTGGCAGCTGATATGCAGGACGCTGGGGTGTACGTTTGCACAGCTGAGAATAAGGCAGGTAAAGTTGAGGCTAGCGTTACTTTGGCCGTATTACGGCGGCCACCAGAGACGGGACTTTCCGGACGTGTGCTGGCCGCGAGCATCATTGTGGCGGCACTTTTCGTGCTTGCGTCATGTCTTATTGTGTTATGCGTGTGCACTCTACGACGAAGACAACAAGCCGTTGGCAGTGGAAGATGGCAAGGTCAGGTACAAAGTGGCATGACTCGAGGTGGCCGTCGTAGAGACGACAGTTACGAAAAGATAGAAATGAACCATAAAGAATCATCAATGCTGAACCATTCAGGAGGTGGTGTTGGGAGAGGAGTGTTACCAAAAAGTGGAAACAATATGTTGACATCAGGCCAAAACGCTGAGGTTGCCGTTGTGAGCCCAATGATGCTGAAACAGCGAACGAGGCACGGTGAGTACAGGGGCGTACCAAATGTTGACACCGACCTCGGGGAAGATGATGCAGATGATGATGATGACGAAGGGGGTTATGAGGAAGAATTAGAGACACCGACTCCCACAACCGTGGTGTCCAGCACGCGGGACTGCAAGACGTCGTGGAGTGGCCCACGGTCGTCGGATGATACGCAAAGTAGCCACAGTGAGATTCGCAGCAGCGCTCTTTCGGACTCGGTCGACTTGCACATCCCCAGAGGCGGCGTCAGCTACCTGGACAGCAGGTAAGTTCCGGAAAGCGATGAGAGTATGAAGGGTAGGGTCTCCTGGTTTGTAACGCTCTGTAGTTCAGACGTGGGCCAATATTTCGGAGGATCAAATAACCTCCATCTTCAGATTAGAAGAGAAAAAACAAACAAAAATCGACCTTGAAAACGATAGGTATGCGTTCCTTTGAAATGTCGAGATTCATCTGAACTACAACACATTACACCAGGGGGCTGTACTTGTTATAATCACTTATGGAAGAACCTCATAAGAGGGCGTGATTTCTTAAAGATACTTTTTAAAGGCGCGTCCACATTACTCATGCTCGTGCTCATGCTCTTGTGACTCGCTATGCTCGCAAGTAATGTGGACGATATGACAAGTCACGGGACAAGCAAATTTTAAATTTATAATTTAAAAACTATAGTCAATAAATGAAAATACGACTACAGTCTGTACACACTACAAGTAAATATACGGATCCTCACGCGCCGAAGCCTGGCGAGCAACTGAAGTAGTGTGGACGAAGATTTACGAGCACAAGTAAAAGCCAGAGGAGTCCGTCGACAAGCACAAGCCTGGCGAGTACGAGCACGAGTAATGTGGACGCGCCTTTATGCTTACTGTGCAAACAGGGTATTCAATAATTGTTCGGATATTGAAATTATAGATGCTACAATTGTTTTGGAATGCGAGTAGATTTAAAAGAAAATAATTCAAATGGAATTTTTACAGTGAAAAATTAGTGGATAATATTAAGAAGATCCTAGGAAGATATATTTTCATAATGGCAGGATCATTACAGTGGCTGTAGCTTTTCAGGTTAGAGCTGTTGAAATTTCGGACTACGCTGCCGAAATATTAGACCCATTTCCAAAGCCCAGTAGTTATAAATATAGTGTTTAAATGACGTACCACACAGACATTTCGTAGTAACATGATTAGGTCGAACTGCTGCTTCTTATGATATTAATAGTTTACCTATTTACAGTTCAAGCAGTCAAGCTGGGCTGATTATGATAGAGATCTAACGCGCACGGCCTTGAGCCGAAGGAAGGAGTACGTCCATGATTCGAATACAACTGTACCTGCATTTCAGCACTGTCACCCATTATGTCAAGAAGTCTAACGTTGCTCTTTTGTGCACGATACTTCAGATAATTGCTGAAATTTGTGATTCTGATTGTAGTCGAATTTTAATTGCTGATTTATAAGATTTTCTAATATCACTTGAATTGGTTTCTATGAATCCGAATACATGGTAATTGGGTCACATGTTATTCTCTTGACGTACACGTATTGTGGCGTATAGACCTGTTGCTAGGCAAAGATCTCGAAACAAACGAGACAACAGCCGTCCCTGTGCAGCAGTGTGGTAAACACGCCTATACAACAATAGATTTGTTGTTGGAAACGGTGTTATGCAACACGTTTCTAGGCATTTGAAACATCTGGACTATAACAATGGAAACGGTGATGTTCTCTATGTGGTCCGTGACGAGTAGTTACTCCGAGGACAATACGTGCCACCCAGTTAGTTGAAAGTCAGCCTGTGAAGAGAAGACTTGGAGGTTGGTGTGAAATGGCCGACAGCCTGGGTGTTAGTTGTCAGTGAGTTGAGAGTAGAGTTTTACACGGCAGAGTATAAAGATAGAACATGAGCGCGTGAAGCTGAAGAATCGCCATTGTTAGAAGCCGTTGCCAGGGAACGGTTGATGAAGGCACAGCAGGCTGGAAAAAGGTCTGGTGATTTATAAAGTCTGGAGATTAGAGACAGAGCTATAATTACTCATAGTTCCGTCAGATTTCTGTAAGTATTAAATAAAGTTATACATAAATTCACGCCCCGCCTATAATTGCACATATAGATCGTAACAATATTTAGAAACAAATACACAGATCGACGTATGTATAATCTGCTAGTCATGTTGCCTTCTACAGAACATTTCCATCAAGTCCACATGTGTACCTACGAATCTAAGAACAAGGCAGATTTTTTATTTGCGAAATCGGAAATGAAAAGAGAGTTAAGTTAGTAAGATTCTCATTATTATATTTTCGATTATTTATTCTCTGATGGGTTTTAAACAAAAGATTTTTATACTTCCATTTGTTCACCATGCGTACTATATGTTTCACCCATCAGGAGTTTCTTGATTTATTATCTGTAATTGTATTATATGAATACTTCAAATGAGAAATATATGCAGGATTTTAGTCCAAAATTTTCAAGAGACGAGACCAGTTCTGAGACCCTGGTGCAGATAATGTAATAGTATTAAAATATGTCTTAAAAGAACTAGTATACATACATATACCGTCACATTGGTGAATAATTAATTTGAAAATATGTGCAAGGAAAAGGGCTTGGATTAATCTGTGGTAACTATCCTGAAATTTGAGTAGAGGCACAGACGAAAACAGCAAACGACCACAATTTGAACACAAGATATTCCGAATAAGAAAAAGGAGTGCTTCCTTCTCCTCCGCGACACTCCGTATCACCTACAGTGTATGTAGTCTCCTGAGACTCTTTCACGTAGAGTTCCTCCCTTAGAGAAAGAACGCTGCCAATTAATATTTCCACGTGATTGAGTGACTATAGATGGGGTTTGGGTTGATAATTCGGTTTATTGAATATTTACAGATCGTATCTACAAGTAACTCTAGCACTATCGCTATTTCACGCGGTCTACATTTCTCTAGAGCAGGCACTAATTCTTTTCAATGTGCTGTGTCTTCACCAGTCATCTGGTGACGGCTTCCATACCTGTAGGTCTCTCAGCTTCCATGTTCCACGGCTTCACGTCCTCGCTGGCTGTCGTTTATCTCACAACTAGTCTCGCCTTTGATACGCAACGACTTAAAACAATGAAGGCTCTTTCGCCTTCCACGAGTCCGCCAGGGGCGACTGTCACATACGCCTCAGATTTGAATTCTTCTGCCTGTCTGTAGACTCTCTACTTGGACGGACTGGCTTGTGTGTCGATTCATAAGGTAAAGCCTCCTCAAGGATCGAAGAGAAACCACCTCTGTTGATGTGGGTGACGTGGTATCAAGTGTTCCATTGTATGTAGCAACACTGTCCGCCTCGTGCCGGACCGCGTGGCAACACCGCTTCCTGCAGCTCACTTATTGTTGCGTGACGTCACCGCTGTCGCGGAGACGTGTTTACCGAGTCGCACCATGGCAATGACTCTCCCTGGCTCTGCAATTTCGCCTTTCAGGCGTCATGTCACAATATATTTCATCAAAACTCGCAATTACCTACATAGAGTTCTCGATTGTTTTATTGACGAAGTTTCAGAACGCCCATGTTCCATCTTTATAGGTGTCTCGATCAATCACGTTTGCTGTCAACAGATACGGGTTTGCTGCTTGTTAAGGAAGATTAATTTTGCCTGGCTTTCCCCTTGTATTACACGATAAACTATGAGAAAGACGTAGCGTGACTTTAAGTCCCAACTCACAAAACATAGAGACGAAAGTATTAATAAACTATGCATCTGTCAGCATTTGAACAGCTATAAATAAAGAACATTAAATTAAACATTCTATAAAATAATTATCATAATTATAAGCGAAGTTTGCCGGTCACAACAGCCGCGCGGTCTAAGGCATGAATTGTCTTCTCTCTCTCTCTCTCGGACTCTGGAATCGTGGGTTCGAGTCCCACTGAAGACATGGATGTTTGGTGTGATTATGCGTTTATTCTGTACTTATGTTGTCCTCTGTATAGGTAGCGGCCTTGCAACCAGCTGATCACCCGTCCATGGAGTCCTACTATCTGTGAAAAATGATTACGTAACTGAATAAGAGGCCAGGGCCCTGAGTGGGCTGGGACAGCCATTGAAAAAAGATATAAGCGAAGTTTAGTTATTTCAGGCATCATATTCATCGGCCTCTTGAAGAATTAAGCTTCTCTTTTCATACACGCGTCTCTGTCGCAACCAGCTGCTACTTCGGAAATGGTGGTGACGGTTGTGACGGCGGTAGCCATAGTGGAGGAAGTAATTTCGGAAATAAAAACCGGATGTGACAGAAACCTGCAGAGGGCACCATGAAGGCAAACAGACTCTTGCCATCTCGTAGTCGCAAGACCAGAAATTTAGAAGAAGGCTATGTTGAAAAATTGGTTTAAGTAGCAAAAAATTCAGGTAGCAATGTGACATGTTTGAAGTTTTTATAAAATAAATAGTGAATGAGAAAAGAAATCTGTTATATCACTTCGTGGGCGACCCTTGTGTATATTTATATATACAGTATATTATTTAATTAGCACGGTCTTCAACGAGAAACATTAATCCATCAATTTATTTATTTAATCATTTATAATATATTGAACGATTGAACTAGTTCAGATTGTACAGCGTCGAGTGGAAGGATGAGCAATGAATAATGATTTGAAGTATGTGTTAATTTGATCTACCAATAAGGCATTTACCTTTAAGCACTGAGTAAAACCATGAAAATCCTTCGTCAGTTTACCTTGTCTTTGTGTCGAGATCTGATTTCGAAACCTCCCAGATACAAAGCAGCGGTGCTACACATTAGAACATGAAGTTCGGTTTTATTCCTTCAGTAATTTCTTAAGTACTTATTAGCATAAAGTGAGTAGTATGTAACTCTGACAGTAGCTTTAGAAAGACGAAATGTGAAAACACATCCCATGTGGCTTTTAATGTAGTGACGCATTTTCAGTAATCTTATAATGAGAAATGTCTGCTTTAAGACAAAAGGAATCAGTGCTTAATTACTGATATGTTGTCACCATATATGCCTGAAACATATAATTAAGATATAATGGTGTCACCACATATGATTGAAACATATAATTAAGATATAATTGTGTCACCATACATGCTTGAAACATATAATTAAGATATAATGGTGTCACCACATATGATTGAAACATATAATTAGATATAATTGTGTCACCATACATGCTTGAACCATATAATTAAGATATAATAGTGTCACCAAATGTGATTGAACCATATAGTTAAGATATAATGGTATCAAAACATATAATTGAACCACATAATTAAGTATATCAGCATAAAAGAGCGAAGTAGACCATAATTAATAAGAGGTACGATTTGCAAGCTATTTCAGTTTGAAGGTTTCTCTACATCTTTCATCCATTACGGTCTGACCGTTCTCAATTTTCTTCTATTTCCTGGCTTACGCAAAAAAAAAAATTAATATTTTAGTGACTTTGGTTGACCCATTCTAATCACATATCTTCTTATAATTAGTAGCCTCAGTTAACTGTTGTTTTTGCGATGAGCGGTGTGGTTGTTACGTATGAATAATCGCTACAGGTACGCTGTAATTTCACTGTCTTTCAGTTGAAATATAGAAGCAGGTTTCCAGGCCTAGGTCCGTCCAGCAGTTTATGTTCGTAACAAAATTAACATGAACTGTATTCCTCTGGACTATACCACAGTGCAGTGGATAAAATCGTGTTTGGAAAGACTCGTTGCTTCCGTTGGTATTATGTTATTCCGAAACACTTGTGTCCATTTAACAATACCACACAGCNTTTTGGAAAGACGCGTTGCTTCCGTTGGTATTATATGTATGTGATGTATGTATGTTATTCCGAAACACTTGTGTCCATTTAACAATACCACACAGCGTTACGCTCCGGAAGACTAAAACATCAACATCAACTGCCGTGTAATAAACGTAAAAAAGGGTAAAACTATCCCTGTAACAGACCGTGGAGGTCCATACGTTTCTGAGACTTCGAGGCTCCCACATTTTCTAGACCGTTCTAGACAGTCAGCCCAGCGGCCTCCGTAGGCTAGGGGTAACGTTCCCACCTCATGACGCAAGGTACGCGGGTCGTGGAATTTTTAAGNGCGACCCAAGTGTCATAATATGGCTGGAAGGATTAGGTCAATTGAAAAATCAAATGACCTCATCGGCGACCTTCCAGCTTGTAGCATAATACTTCAACCAACTACGTTACCGCGTGATCCTAACTGTCATATAATAATAGTAATTATAATTTAGGCCATTTTTGTCATTTCATAATAAAGGGTATCTACAAGATAACTGAAGCGGCAATGTTTCTTACATGCGAGAGATTCTCTTTTCGAATTTCTACCGAATTTTTCAATTCCTCCGGTCCAATACCAGGATAAATCAGGCCATGCCCTTTTCCTTTTACATACTTCCCAATTTATTATTTAACATCTTCTGGTTACTTGACGCTGTGCAGTATGAGTTACTGATTGCAGCATTACATAAACTGCAAAGTGCATGTTAATCCAAATTATTTTCTGTTACAGAGAAGACAGGCTTGGTTCCGACGAGACGAATGCAGACTTCCCACAGCAGCAGCAAAGTGCGCACAACACTAACGTAACTCAACAACCGGCCCTAAGCAGAGCCTTGCTAAGAGAACTGGAAGACCTAACCTCACCGCACTTACTCCAGCAACACGTCATGAGAAAACAGACAATAGGCACCAGTGGGGGTAGTCTATATACCTCAGTTCCCCTAGATAGTGACTGTGGAAGTGGAGCTGACATTCGGACGGGTTCAGAAAAAAATTACCCAGATTTGTTAGAGATTTCACCTTATAATTTAAACAGCGGTGGTGTTAGTGTGGGTCCATTAAAGGTAACAGATAGCTCTTTCTGTACTTTGCCTCGAAGACGAGGCGGTGCTTTTGAACGTGGTTCCAGTGGAAGAGGAAGTGCTCGGTATTATAGAGGTTCTGAGAGTCAGTCACCTTTGTTACCGGAGAGTCAGTACGGTAGCAGTGGTGGTGAAGGCAGTGGAGGAAGCAATGGGTCTATACCACGAAGATCATCTATAGAATCATATTCTTCGTACTATCCACTCTCTGCAGCTTTCGGTGCTAAGAAACATCCCAGCATAGGACAACAAAGGTCAAGTAGCTCTATGAACTTGGCATCTCCGGCTGTCTCGTCGATAACAACGGAAAATAACTTAGGTAGTGAAGTGACGGTTCTTCCAGCGAGAATAAGAAAAAACCCAAGTTTACCAACTTCTCCTGACCTTGAGAGACTTCCTGCTTCGAAGCCTACAGCTTCAGCGACACCGCTTTTAAATTTAATGACATCTGACACTCTCGGTGTTGGCGATTTCTTCCCCCCGTCTGCACCGTCTGCTGCCTCTGTACCTTCGACTGCAACAAACACATATGATTACCATGCAGCACAGCTTGAAAGGTTTCTAGAGGAATATCGCAGTTTACAAGAACAACTTTGTAAAATGAAAGAAACCTGTGAGAACATCCGTCAACAGGACCCCCCTGGCAGAACAGCTTCTGCAACAACTCCAAGCATATCACGGTTTGTGGATCCTCTCATGTATACAACCGGGGTGACAACCCCTTCAGGATCCGACGATAGTAACAACCCTAAATCAATCCTAAAAAATAAATCATCCGGCGTCGCCGTTACAGCAGCGTCGGCGTCTTCACCCATGGGTATTGTTGCAACTTCCCCTATCGGCCTTGGCAGCTCGGGCGGTGCTGTAGACTATGGATCCGATCTGCCACCGTACTGGTTGCCTAGAAACACGCTTCTCAGAAGATTCAGTGGCGGTGATTTCTATCAGAGCTGAGACAAGTTCTAAACGTTGAATAAAATTTGTTGTGTTTCGTGGTTCAAAGAATAACGCTATTGGAGTGATAATATTGTGAATATGAATTGGCATATCATAAGTAAGTTCCAGAGTTAGGAAATATAATAATTTCTTTGTTATAAGATTTATCCGTAAGGAACAGCGTCGATATATTGACAGACTATATCGATATGGCCCTCAATCTAATGTTCATCCTTTATCAGAAGATGATAACAGAATAGTTGTTTTATTACGAATGCCGGAATGCGACATTAATATCCGTAAAAATATACTCTTAGCCCATTTTAAACCAATTAAAAGTGAAATTATTTTAAGACTGGGCATTTGTAATGAATTCATATTATGATATATTAGACTTAAAGATGATGACAATATGAGACATTACTTATACAGAATACCATTGTTTAGAAAGACATCCAAACATTAAATTAATTTTATTTTATGGCTCTTCTTCATATATTAATATTCCATGTGGCGCATATAAACACTAAACAAACTATATATATCATGTTTGTTAAAATTTTTACGAAGTTATAATTTAAGGTTTGTAGTTTTCTAAATTGACACTTACAGATATGTCTCAAATAATACTACATATTCCGAAGATTTGGCTTTGACTAAACTGCAATTTTCACCGCAGTAATTTTCATATTTTTGTTCCTGAACGACTAAACCACGACGGAAATACATAATTCATTTCTTACTTTTCGAGTATGATATATTATAACACAGAAAATAGCCAACAAACATCCACCTTCCAATAACGAATTGGCTCTAAATATGTTAAATACGATTATTTTATTATCTTTAAAGGAATTATTCGGAGAACAATGCAAATATCAAGAGTATGCTTTCACAGAAATATCACTCTCATAATGTAACCTGATGACAGGACGTTTTTGACGTGTTGGAATTGGAATCTGTTTGTGTTACATTTGTTGTTGTTAAGCTGCCGAAGTGTTCCAAGTGCGTACCAGCTGAAAGAGTGTGTCGATCGGTTGGGCAGTGAACTGAAATATTATTATGAGTGTTTTGAGCTCGGTTGTCAGTGATGTTTCGTAATTTCTATCAGACACGAAAGATTGAATTGTGAACAATAGACACCATGTTTCTTTCGTTTATATGTTTGTCTGTATGAATGTGTTCCATGCACTATCACCTCTTGAATCTTTTTTAATCTCTTCCTTATACACGACTATATATATGTGTTGGGGTCATGATTAACCATATCGACCCAATACGGTTACAAACTTGAAAACCCCTTTTGCTTCACAAACAGCGGATAGTAACAAAAAATTGACTTCGATTATAATTTAGCAAATGCTATATATTCTTGAAATATCTGTTCTTTTGTATTGTTTGTCGTTTAACGTGGTTCGGTTACTACTCCATGTTCTCTTTTATTATCCACTTACCATGATCTTTAATCAGTGCTTTTTTATTTTTAAGTCTCGGAATTTTACACTTTCACACACAGTCACTTCGAAGAACTAAAAATGTGTCATGGTTAATGTTACTACGTCATCAGTAAATTGATGTACACAGCCAACTGTGGAGTTTAACTTCAAACAAATTTTGTCGTAACTTTAGTCATTATTTTGCATCTGAATTATAAGAGCTGTCATCTGAACGTGCCTGAGCGAGATCTGCATCAGAATAATTTATATCACAGTGAGATATGAGGTTACGACCTTCTGGGGATATGGCGCTTTGTATTCTGGTAAAAGGTTAAAAACATCCCTCGAAATCGTCGCTAAATTACTATCAGACTACACGGAGTCAGAAGATCATATTCATCATCTGATGTTATGATTCTAATTCCTTGTGCCGATATTCTGGTATTCAGTATACTTCTATATAATTTCAGAGTGCATATATAAGAGTGGTATAAATATGCAGATTTGGAAGTAAATTTTCAGATTACGTAATTCCGAACAGAAACGCCATGATCACTCTGAAAGTCGGAAATATTTTTATTATAAAAAAAAACGAAACATTGCTGTTAATAATGATGTTAATAGTTGAATAAAAGAATGTACCCGAAAACTCTATTAAACTTCTTATGTTAATGATGCTCTTCACTGTAGCGTAGTTGGTTGAGGCACTATGCTAAAAGACAGAAGTCTTCAGGTTCGATTCCCGATGATATAATTGGATTTTTCAATTTCCTTAACACTTCCAACCGCATTATGATATTAGGGTCGTCTTAGCCTCTAACAGAAATGAATACTAGGACTCTTCCTGGGGTAAAGGGGGCCTGGTGTGAAAGGGTGACAACCTCACCGCCATTATAATAGCAATACTAGACAAGTGAATTATCTTAAATAAGTATAGAGGAAGAGATTAAAATAATTCCATCCCTCAAAGTTCTTCCCTATATCACTGATGTGCTCTAAATTGTCGTACAAATTTCGCAGTAACTGATATGGAAATACGGAAATATCTGCATAGTTAAAACATATAGAAGAAGAGGGAATATTGTTTGTCACCACGCTGGCTAAGAGAAATACGCTACTCTGTCATGTGACACGGTGTAGTTTGATAGGTCTTACAGACATTTCGGAAGAAACTACTGCTTCCTTTTTCACCACACAAGAGTTTCATCTAACGTGAAGAAGGAGGCAGAACATTTCTCCGAAACGTCGTAACGATCTCCCATACTACACGGTGTTACGTCACAGAAAGCTATTTCTTCATATTGCAAGGATTCTACAACTACAGTATTGTACCTAATAAACACTACAGTTAATTGAAATGCCAACATTTTAAGATTTTTAAAACTACGTTGTAGACGAAATTAATATCGACACTTACACAATTAAGCTTCAAGCGGATTGGAACTGGAAAAACCACATGACTATACAATTTTCACGGTGGAAAAATAAGACGACATAATTCGTATTTCGCTGTCCTCAANGACAAGAGTTTCATCTAACGTAAAGAAGGAGGCAGCACATTTCTCCGAAACGTCGTAACGATCTCCTAGACTACACGGTGTTACGTCACAGAAACCTATTATCTTCATATTGCAAGGATTCTACAACTACAGTATTGTACCTAATAATAACTACAGTTAACTGAAATGCCAACATTTTAAGATTTTTAAAACTGTACGTTGTAGACGAAATTAATATCGACACTTATACAATTAAGCTTCAAGCGGATTGGAACTGGAAAAATCACTTGACTATACAATTTTCACGGTGGAAAAATAAGACGACATAATTCGTATTTCGCTGTCCTCAACATTACAATGGAATTATTTAATTTTATGATAAATAAAATTTAATGCAATTATAGTTGCGATTCTAAGAATAAAGTCACAGCCAATATATGAGTCGTACGATACCAACGGTACTAAATAAATGCTGAGATAACCGAGAATAAATTCGAATTAAAACGAACACTTACGAAATAAGAGAATACAGAGACATCTACAAAATTTGAAGTGCCCAAATTGTACTGTCCGATTGCTCATTAAAATATAATAATTTTGGATATCTTAACGACATAGCACTATTCGGTACCTCAGTTATTTTCCGTCGCTAAACAATGGATATTGATAAAGTTACGAAATTCGAACTAAACGCCGCACCATTCAGTAGCACTGTGTGTGATATCCCAGACCAATAGTCATATCCTCTGTTTCCTTTATTCTTTTAAACGGGTATATTTGATGAAAATATATTATATTTGAGAGAGACGTAAACAGCCTAAAATAAAGACTTGTCTTTTCCTGTTATTTATATTTTATTTACGAGTAATATTTACTGTTATCCTTTTCCTTTCGCGTAACAGTTGCTAACATACAATTACAAATTCATGTTTTGTAGAGATCTGGCAGCAAAGCCGATGCAAATCATAACACGTCCATACTGATTCAGCATGTTATGGAACGCTTAATTATGGTTTAACTCAGACCAATGAGAGCATTCAAGGAATGAATTTTCCCTTACGCTTAAGGTAAGTGTGCATAATCAATAACTCAGCTCAGGGCTCGTTCTAAGACCATGTCCTCAACGCAGATTGTCCACTGTGCACACCAATCCTATGTATTGTTGGTTTGTTAACAGGGACAGTTAAGCTATGTGAAGTGTGAAGCTAAACAGTTCAGTTTTCTATTCTTAACGTAACACGGAATATACCAGTTACAGAAGCTATTGGAACACTGGATATAGCTTACACTTACTTTAACACAAAGAGATATAGTTATTACAACAGTGTATTTGTTTCATATACAAGACTCTGGGTGCTTTAGTAACGTATTATTTAGTGTATACTGAAAGAAATGTGACGAATGATTAAGATATTGCCCTTGATTGTTGTTTACTATTTAAAGCTATTCATAATCATTGTCTCTATCTTCATAAACCTTTGAATATGCAGAGGCCTATAGAAACTGCCCAGAGAAAAGGAATATCAAAAGAAAATACGTTTTCTAGACTTAAAGATACATTGGTTACAAGAATAACTGAACTTCTCACCGCATGACAACGGTTCCACACGCCACAATATGAAGAAATATCGTCGCAGTTCTGCCTCCAGGTAAGTGTTGTATGTTGTAAAACAGAAAGCAAGATTTAACCAAATTTTATCGAGCTTTGATAAAAGTTTTGTACGCGATCTACAGGTAATCGTGAAGTGGTCCCTCTGACAGAATAGTTTGATTTCAGACTTTACTGCTGTAGTGGTAGAGAATTAAAAGTATATTTAACGCATATTTTATTTATCTGGCACTGCGTCCCACTAGTAGCGCGTATATGCACTGCAACTGTTATGGAAACCCTTCACTTGTTTACAAAATGTTCATCATCTTATCACAAAATGACGTCAGAACACACTAAAACAAAACCACCTCCCCACTATGTTAAACATAAGAACCTCCGAAGAGATAAGCCTTAAGCTAACAAGACGGGGTCAGACAACATCGAACATGGCTGCCAGGGTGTGGTCACCCATTCCTTAGGCTAGACAGCACCCCTATCACGAGACGCTCTGCAATCACACCAACCAAGCATTACATTTATTTCGTGTTTATTAAATTCGAAATCATTCATAACATTCTTAAAATTAAACCAAATGAACGTAAACATTACGAAACATTAGTCTGACATGATTTGTACTACCGAAGAGGAATTATTTATGAAATGTCTTATAAAATATGTTCTTGCACAAATGGAGTCAAAGCACGATCACTAATATATTTATTCCATATCGGAAAAACTACAACCACAAATCACAGAAGTTCTTCTAAAGTATGTGAAAAGTGATCTTTATGCACTGCATAGACATAATGTACATACTGCAATCGGTATAGCGACTAGCTACGGGCTGGACAACCGAGGGGTCAGAGTTCAAGTCCCGATAGGGTCAAAAATTTTCTCTTCTCTTCGTCGTCCATACCGGCTCTAGGGTCCATCCAACCTCCTATATAATGAGTAAGGTGGCTCTTTTCCTGGAGTAAAGCGGCCAGAGCGTGAAGCTGACCACTCACCTCCAACTAGTGCCGAGGTCAAAAAAATGTGGGTTCATACATCCACTCCCTCATACGTCTTCATGGTGTAGTGCTTAATTAAGGACAGGGTAAAATTTACCTTTTACGTAACGATGTTAAATTACGTATAAGATGTTTTACAGCTGCTAAGGAATCTTAATATCTATCCATCCAGCAGAAACAAATGTTCAGCGAATTCGAACGTGTGGCATGCTAGGGTAATGATGTCAAGAGATACAAAAATTGCGTTGCTGATTGCATGACATAAAATTTAAAATGCTAATGATATACTATGTAGCCTCCGTCACTGTTCCACCACAATATACACGTATTAACGCGACAGATGACCCTCTAAGCTGCACCATTTTGTTTTAAACAGACTCCAGTTACACAGCTATACATTTTACTTACACGCTATTACAGTTACGTAATATAGATTAATATCTCTTTCTATGAATATGAACTCTTTTGAATGGGAATATTAGCTTACAGTAAGTAAATAATGACATAACATCAATTTTTGTTCTTTTCTATGTTTTCATGCAGATGAAGTTGTTAGTGTTTGTAGAATGTTCGCAAATTTAATTTCAAGTGACACCGAATTTTACACGTCACTGCAGGCAGTAATATTCTGTACCTTTTCACTAAATGTCATTTCCGTGATTTTATCAATTTCGTTGCGTCTGTGGCACTCGTGAAGGATGAGAAACTCTCAATAAAATTTTAATTTGAAGACCTAAGCTAGGATCATATGATAATATTAATTTTGATCTCAGAGAAGTACTGTATTAAAGTATAGATTATATTCATGTGGCTCATAACAGGAACAAGTTGCGAGGTCTTTGAACAGGTTATCAATTTTTGGATTCCATAAAGGGCGGCTGCCAGTTTCTCAGATAGTTTTATGCTCCAAGGAATTAGATACTTAGGATATATGAAAGGAAGATACATAAGAACAAATGAGGAAATAATATTAAAATGAAAGTCGAAAAAATAAGGTCTAAAGATCTGGAATGGAATCATCTGGCCCATGATGTGGTCCAGTCATAGGCTGTATTGAACATGACAATAATACTTTTGAGAAGTAATTTATTTCTGAGGGATTCTTATAGAGATGCAGCTTTGAAGTACAAATAACAAAATGAATTTCGTACTAAGAAAAAAAGGTAAAGCTGTAACAGGCCATGAAGGCCCATAGTTTTGTGAGACGTCGAGGCTCCAACATGTTCTACACAGTCGGCTCACAGATGGCTGTGAAGTCAGCCTTATGCGCCGGCCGGCAGCCCTTTACTCCCAGGTAGATTCCTGTTACTCATTTCTGTTAGAGGCCGAGTCGACCTCGGGTCTATAGTGAGGCAGTAAGGATTAGATCAATTGAAAAATTCCAATGACTTCATCGGAAATCGAACCCTTCGCCTTCCGACTTGTAATACGTGTATAGTGTCTCAACCAACTACGCTACAGAGTGCCCCAAGTACTAAGAAAGCTCTCTTAAACTTTACACATTGCCCATAGTTTTGTGAGACGTCGAGGTTCCAACATGTTCTACACAGTCGGCTCACAGATGGCTGTGAAGTCAGCCTTATGCGCCGGCCGGCAGTCCTTT